GCCGCCTCCCAGACGGGGCGCCGGTGCAGGCCCTCGATGATGAAGAGGTTCTGGGCGATGTGCTGCAGGATGAGCAGGACGGAGTAGGCCAGGATCAGGTGGTTGAGCAGCTCGCCCGAGCGCATGGCCACGATGGCCACGATGGAGAAGTAGGCGATGCCCGTCTGGCCCAGCGCCGCCCCCATGAGCAGCACCACGTCCATGCTGCGCGTGGGGTTCTTGAGCGTGTCCAGCTCGCGCTGCTCCAGCCCGTGGACGGCCGTGCCCGCCAGGCAGGCCAGGCTCATGGCGGGCAGCAGGGCCGCGTAGAAGGCGTAGTAGAGGAGGAAGTACTGGCGCCCGATGGCAGGGCCGCTCGCCTCAATCTGGAAGATCACAAAGACGCACACGCCCGCCACCAGCGCCAGCAGGCCCAGCAGCAGCCCGAAGATGGACCCGTGCAGGCGGAAGGGCCGCGAGCCCGGGTGGGCGCTGGCGTGGGGGGCCGGGCGGCGGCCCACGTTCTTCCACAGGACGAAGAGCACCGTGGAGCAGAGGAGGCAGTACTCGGTGCCGAAGGGGTAGAGCATCAGGTAGCCCTTTTGGAAGACCTCGCACACCTCGGCGTTGAGGCACAGGCAGGTGTTGGTGCCGTTGCCTGGAAGAGGGGAGGGAGGAAGGGGACGTGGCCTTGCTCTGGAGAAACCAGCTGCACAGGTCAGTCCCATTCGCCCCCTGGAGTATGCCAGAGGCTGAAGGCACCCAGCCACCCATTTCACAGGTATGGAAACCGAGGCCCAGAGAGCGAAATCAGAAATCACAGGATGGTCATTCCTNGAGCTGGGCACACTCATTCACGACAGGTACCCTGCTCTCAAAGGTCATAGAGCTGGCTGGAAAGAGGCGTGTGTCCTCGACAATCGAAGGGACACGCCGATCGCCCTTGGTCAGGCAGTGTGCAGTGGGTGCACCTCGAACCATGCCTTCCCCAGCGCGGTTCCCCGGGCCACTCACGGTGATGTTGCAGAGTATGAG